ACATCCACAGTGAGCGCAGTTACCTACTGAGTGCGAGTGCGAGTGCCGAGAGGGAGTGTCGAGTGATTTGGAGGACTGAGTGACTATGAGGACTGAGTGACTGGGAGGACTGAGTGAATTGATACTCTGAGAGTATGCATATGGTTTTTATCACTGAGTTGCATCGCATTCGACATGCACACATGACATGTAGGCATAGAGATGTATTTTTCCTCATGCCATTTGAAAATGAAACATTTACCTGTTGAAAGCTTTAGGAAAAAAATCATAGTTTTTACAAACTTACTCATATTTTGATGATTTCGGCAAAAGATTTGGGTTTTCATTGATATACATGAAAAACAAGCCTATTTTTCGAAACTGTGAACGAGCTGAGCATATTATCTCTGAGTTGTTTCTTTCAGCACTTTTATTATGTTATTATGAACTGTTGTTTGATATTGGTGTTGGACTCTGACCTTTATTCCAGCTCATCACTACTTTCTACCTAAGGTTAGGTTTGTTACTTATTGAGCACATGGAGTCGGTTGTACTCATACTACACTTCTGTACCTTGCGTGCAAATGTTGGATGCTAATGTGGTTGTGCACGATGGAAGCTGATCTAGATGTGTACTTTTGTTCCAGTTATGGCTATCACTTGCCCTTGGTAGCATTAGATTCAAATTTTGTTCATTTACGTTTCAAAAAGATGTTGCAATTATTTTAATTCAATCTTGTAAAAATCTAAATCTTAGAAGCCTATGATTTGTACTACCAGTCCGTTTGGAAATTCTTTGTATAAAGTAGATGTATTATCATTTCTTCCCTTAATAAATCTCATTTAATTTGGATAGTGTTTAGTTGGCTTACCTAGTGGGTTGGGTTAGGTACCATCATGCCTAGTTGGATTTTGGGTCGTGACATAGTCGATAATGGTGGGGTTGGTGGTGATTGTAGTTGATAATGATAGCAGTGGCAGTTATGGTTAAGGAAGGTAATGGTCAGTGCTGGTGTTTGATTTTGGTGGTGGTCGGTGTTAGTGGTTGAGTATGGTTGTGGTTGGATTGTGTATGGTAATAGGCGATAATGGTGGGCGGTGGCGGCAGTTAGTAGTTAATGTAGATGATAGCATCTTAATGAAATCAAGCCTCTGTTATAGATCTTAATCAATAAGACCTATTCAGACTAAAGGTGTCTAATGGGTGGGTCGGGCCGGGCCGGGTCGAGAATAAAAGGGGGCATTTGCATCTATACCCAGTTTTTTGGGTCACCATTTAACTTATACCCGCTTTGTAAAAAAATTGCAAGCGTACTCACTTTTCGGGTAACTTCAGATATACAGGCCTGAAGTAGCAAAAATTTATGTCTGAAGTTTGAACTTCAGAATTTTTTGCCTGAAGTTTGGCCTGACTTGCAAATGCAATCAACCAAACTTCAGTTCATAAGCAAGGGCAAACTTCAGTTCAGTTGTGTATGTCTGAAGTTTGAACTTCAGAATTTTTTGCCTGAAGTGTAGCCTTATCAAAGCAAAACTTGAGATATTTTTGACTGATGTTTGACCTGACTTGCAAAGGCAATCAGGAAAACTTCAATTCATAGCAAGGGATAACTTTAGTTCAATATGAGAGAAAGAAGATCAATTAATTAAATCTTTTGGAAGCAACAGAACCATGTATTCATATAAAACTCAGGTAATCGAACATAATCACTTACAACACACAAAGAGAGCATCAACGACATTACTTTTATAGCTCTAACAGTAGGCTACTTGAATGGTGCTTAGACGAAACAAACTTCAGACCCTCGTATTTGAAGCTAATTTTCCAAAAGTACTAACTTCAAACACTCGCTCTGAAGTTCACTTGCAGTATTACAAACTGCAGACATAGCAGTGAAACTTCAAGCCCGAGGTCTGAAGTTCACTTGCAACATTAAAAACTTCAGACATAGCAGTACAATTTCAGACATGAGCATGTACAAACTCCAGTTCACTTGCAGCAAGTGCAAAGATATGGAGGTGAGCCATTATTTTAACCAAGAAACGTAAATTCTGAGAGTGAAGATGACGGTTTTATTCTTGCATTTTGCCATGAACTAAGAGATACAGTTCAGCGTGAATTCTCAAGATCCTAAATTGTAGGAAAAAATAATGGGTTTGGTCAGATCCTAAACTGAACTGCTCTCAGCCACATCAGAAAAGAAGAGGAGGAAGAAAGGAACGCATAGGTCAGGAGGAAGAAGAGGAGGCGTCAGAAGTTATTAAAATTAAAGTATAGGCTAAATAATTTTAAAAATATGGGTATAGGTTAAATGGGGGTGACCAAATAGGGCGCCCCGTATAATTTTTACGAATAAAAGTGACTGGTTGGTCACTAAACTGGGTCGGTTACCGATTTTTCCATACCGGGCTTAACGGGTCCGGGCCTATACGGGTAAAAATTGAACCGGAACGGTTACGGGTCTAAGGGGCCGAGTTTATGTATTTTTTTTGTATTTTGTATAACTATCGTAATTTTATATGAATATAAAGTAAAAATCCAAAATAAAAAAATAATCTTATAAAAAGAGTGTTTGAATAAAGGATGCAAAGGCTTTAAATTTTAAAATCCTTATATTTGAAAAATTCATTACGAATTTAAGATAATACAATGAACATGAAAAAAATATAACTTATAGTATAAATCTTATACTGGACACTAGAGTGTTATAATAACTTGACTTATAAGGATCAAGCTTCAATGATTTTCATAGTTTCATTTCAAATTTTCTTTGCATAATAATACTCAAATTAATCTAACAAACTAAAACATTAAGCACAAATACGTCTAATAATTTTTAAATAACACAAATCGTCTTAAATCAGCTTAAATACGAATTTCTGGAGGACGCTCAGGACAACTCTTCATATGCCTCCTTAAACAGTATGTGCGCACTTTAGATGAAGATTTAAGACTCGACCACAGTTCTTGCACTTTACTTTGTGAACTTCTTCATTTTCTTTTACCACATCAAAGTGTTCCCAAACATGAGCGCACTCTAGAAGTACGGGGCATGATTTAACTTGAATTGAGAATTTGAGTTTGAGAAATGAGAGATGAATGAAGAAATGAAGAAGAGGAGGGGTGTATTTATAGTTTTTCAAAGGGCTAAATTAGTAATTACCTAAAGTATTTTTTTAAAAAATTGCCCAAAAGGGGCTATTCTTGCAAAATATCTGTTGGGCAACGGTCAAATTGGAAGCTGACCGTTGCCAACGGTCAAATGGATTTTAGAAAAAAAAATATTCAGATTTCATAGCCGTTGAACCGGTCCGGGCCGGTCCGGTTAACCGTTTCAACAGTGATTTTCCTTGACCTGGTTTGACCGGTCCAGTTAATCGGTATGAAAAAAGTAAACGTCCCAACCCCCCTAACCTAGCCCTACCCGGCCCCCCTACCACCGGTCCTGTTCGGTCCAGGTTACTACCGGTTTGGGCCGGTCCAGATCAGGGTCAACTCGGCCCGTTAAACACCCTTAATTCAGACCCATTAAGTGGTTGGATAATAAAAAAAAATCAAACACACTTAATGAGTAAGATCTGAATAATTAAGATTCAGACTTAAAAAACAAACGCATTTAATATCTGAGATTTAAATAATTAAGATTCAGACCTTCATTAAGTGCAAACAAATGAGGCTTCAAACGGACTAAAAATGAAGCTAATCAGTTTTTAGATTTTCTTCAAATAAAAAGATGTTTAAAACCATCTGTTAAAAATTTTATATAAGAAATAAAAAGAAAACGAACTTAAACTAAAAATACTACATGTATAAAATATTATCTTATCAGTTAAACATACAAATTTCTAGTTGTTTTGAATCTTGAGAAAACTTTATTTGGAAAACTTATCTTATCTTATCTCTTCCTTTTATGGACGTTATTCCTCCACAGATAGGAGGACACAATGGATTGGAAAAGTAGGATATTCAAAGAAATTATCAGTAAGCGGGATAGTCGTGATTTATTGATTTATTCTATATGACAATCTATAATTCTATGTTATTTTCTAATTTATAGTTTTTACTCTATACAATCACGATTTGTAAATATTAGTTCATCTTATATATTATTCTCGAGCAATGGTGTTTATAGTACTAATGATGTAAACAATAATCCTCATCCGGACCAAAAGAAACAAACTCACCAAGAAGTTAAGGGGTGTCATTATATAGTATATATACATAAATACCGAGTTATACAGTGTAATTTTTGGCTCCGCCACTGCCTGGCACTTATGGTACCAAGTTGCACTTCAGACACCAGTTGTCCCAGAAATTACAAGTTTCCAACCATTCAACCACCAAGCCCCAGAACCATTCTCACATCCCAAGTTCCCAGAATGTTCCCTTTCGACTACTGCTGTTTTTAAGATACAAGTTACGATTAAGCAATGTTAATCTACTGTCAGCATATGTGCGCACGTTTAATTTTTCTGATCCTGTATTGAGTAGTTATGTGAGGAATGGGTGCGAGCAGAGATATGTCACCACTAGTTCAACCTTAGAAGGTGCCCACTTAATGACCAGCTAGGATTTGTAAGATTTTTACACAGATTGCACCTTAAAGGTCTGAAATTAGACCCAGCCCAGGGGGGTTAGGTTTGGGGGGGGGGGGTGTAGAGGATAAGGTTTGCAACACCTTTAGCAATTGGTATGGTCTAACTTTTAGAACCTCACATTAGAATAAGTTAAATCCTGATCTTAACTGATAATGTGATATAAGTGAACCATAAATCGCAATCTATCCAAGAACAATAACCACCCACCCAGGGCACGCCAGATTTTCCAGCCCTCCTCACCACCAGTCCTAATCACATCAGCTTCTACGGTAAAACGTTAATTACATTTTGAATATGGTGTTACATTAAGGAGCACGAAATAACCTAACAAATACATCTTAGAAGACTACAAAATACTAATTCTATGTTGTGTTTGAAATTGTGGTATATGGCCTACCACCAATTTATGGTTGAATTGGGAAAAAGACAAATGTATAATTGTATATATGCCTCAACAACAAGTAGTAAGGAAGAAATTAGCAAGATTGAAAAGACTCGAGCAATATGACAGTAAGCATGTAAGGAAAAGCACCAATTCCTCAAAACTAAAAACTCCATTGCTGAAACTTTGAAACATTAGCATCGACTTCCAGATTATTCCACATATGCTTGCAATAACTAAAAAACAACGAAAAAAGGAAAGAGGATTGCATCAATCGCCCCCAAAAGTCTGCAGACCTCACCTAACAATTTAGCGAAATTAGAGCAGTTAGCCTCTTTCGATTCACATCTACCACAAAGAGCAGGTTTATTTCAATCACTCCAGCATCATCAGAAGCTAACCAGATTCGTTGCTTTGCTTCTGGCGAGCAATATCAAGGAAAAATGCAGTCAAAATAGTTTCATAAGACGGCATCTTAGCATATCCAGGGAAGTAATTGATATCAATAACAAGATATCGATTTCCAGCTCTAGTATCCCTTATCATATCAAAGTTAAAAAGATGCAACTTCATAGCATCCCTCAACTGATTAGCCACATCTGTCACAAATCCTAACGGAGGCATCTCCGCATTTTCAATCACTTCAGCAAAACTATCATCATTCTGATCTTGAGCAGTCAAATTAGATATCTGCGAAAACGCTATCAAATTCTCTAAAGTACCCAATTTCTCCTCAGAAATATCAGGCAATGACCTTCTTTTCACACATTTCACATGTTCCCCTGCTACATAAACCTTAAAAATAACTCCACCATGATTAACAAACTCCTGTAATACGATTGGCGGTTTCAGCTCTTCTAGACCTTCTGGTTTTAAAACTAAATACATTTGGTGTGAATCAGCTGTCCCATTAGCAATTAAAGGCTTAGCAATAATGGGGAAATCCAACCCTTGACGTGTGATATGGTCTAAGGGAGAATCAGAATTTTCTTGAATAAAAATCTGAAGAGGGACTCCAATAGTTTCATTTTCTTGGGTAATTTTTAATTCGTTAACAACTTCAAGCATTGAAATTCGGTTGTGGAGTTTTTCAATAGCATCAATGGGATCTATTATGATGGAAGTTGGGTTCTGAAGGGAAAATTCTTCTAACTGTTTTCTCCATTCAGGACCATATAGCTTGTGGAAAATACAATCAAAAGGACCTTGTTCGATTAATGGTTTATTCAGATCGATTGGGATTAGATCAATACCTTGTTGTTGGGCATGATTGACGAGGGAATCTTGAATAAAGCTGCTTACTTTCTTTGGTGCAAGTACATAACCAAAGCGAAATCTCCTTTCTGACATGGCTGTTAATTGAGAAATGCGAGCAAATGTTAAGGAGAGGGATTTTAACTTAAGGAGTAAGGAGGCTGGCTATACGATAAAGAGATTCGTTTTTTGAGTCTTTCTGGGATTGCGCAAAAAAGTAGCGGGACGCGTGGCACGTTGCCGACTTCGAGGATCGAACATCCACGCGCGTTGCTTTTAATTTTGTTTATTTTTATTATAATAAGTCACATTTATAATATAGAGATTATTTGCATTACTACTTAATTGATAAGGTTAGTATAATAGGTATTCATTCCTCTATTATTTATATCTATCTATCTACTTAATCTATCGATATTTGTGCTATATTAAAATCACGAAGGTCCTTAGTTCGTATCTTTTAACTTTTAAAAATAAAGTTCACAATTTATATTAATATCCTAATATTTAGGAATGATCATTTAATTAACTTCATAATATTTAGGAATAATCATTTAATTATAAGATAAATACGTAGGATTTTAATTTTAACTAAAATTTGGTTAATATATTTTTCCTTATTTGAAACAAGTACAAAGTTCTCATATTTAGAAATTCAAAAGCACTATATTTCTAATAAATATGGTAGTCAATATTTATGATTTAAAATGACTATGCTCGATCAAGACATACACTTTCACATTCCTATTTTGATATTCTAAGTTTGTTATTAAACTAAGACAAAAAGGAAAAGGTTGTTAACTTATCAATTTCTATCTAAAACAAGAATATGATAATAACAAAACTATCAATTTGTTTGACATTGAATGTCTTATTCATAGACAGATTTTTATGCATTAAATTCTTTCTTATGTATTTGTGAAATTTTTTATCTTTTTTGAATTATTTAACATAATAATTTGTAAAAGATAATAATACCAGAAATTAAACAATCAACACAGAATAAGTAAGTTATTACTTATTGTATGTTCGAATTGCTATTTGGCGCATAACTATAACCAATTAATTTTATCTTAGTAAAAAGAAATTAGAGAAAGACAAAGTAAAAAATATAATGGAAGACGATAAAGTCGATATGCATTTCTTCGATTTTTCTTATTCTTAATTATAGATTTACTATCGAATGTAGAATTCCCATAAATTTTGCATAATTTAATTATCTTAGTTTTTACGTAAAAAATTATAATTGATTCTCTGGTATACAATAGAATATATCATTATCCTTTAACCAAACGCTCCTTCTATAAAATTCATGTAACAAAATGTAAATTTACATTCTAATAAATACGGTAATTAGATATAAATAACATAATTTCTACTATTACGATATTCTGTTACTCAACATCAAATTAAATAAATACTTTTAAAATGACACATTATAATTGCACGTGGAGATAGACACATAGTTGCATATACTGTAAAAGTACAAAAAAGGCCTCTTTTCATTTATGTATGAAGTCCTATTTCGTAGGACTTTAAAATTCATCAAAAGCAATTAGAAATGGTTACTTAAATATGTAGAAAGTCCTCTTTTGACCAACATTATCATTTTCATAAACTTATATTTTTTTAAATTTTTATTTTATAACTCAAATATATTGTTAAAAATGTTGATGTAACTTTTTAATATTATATATTCATTAATGTAGGTACACGCGTAAAGCGCGTACGCTAAGACTAGTTATATTAAAAGCACGAAGGCCCTTAGCGAAATGTCGTTCGCCTTTTATACCCCTTTTAAAATATATTTTATATTGGATAAAATAGTATTTAATTTATTTCCCTAATATGTATGAATAGTCATTAATTATTTTTCTAATATTAGAAATAGCTGTTTTAGTTATTTGCCTAATATTTAGAACTTTACTTTGAAAAATCATAATAGTTATTTAATTATTTATCTAATATTCAGGACTTTGACTTCAAAAATCACATTAGTTCGTTCAATTCCTTTTCAAAGGTACTTCACTATCAACTCTATTTATAGGACTATATTTAGGACCACGAATATTATTTTTTATTATAAAAGTTTTGTTTTAGGAGTTCCTATTTTTCTTTTCTTCTTCAGTTTTAGTTCCTTTTCTAGGTTATGGGTACTTTTTTGGTTATAAAATTTTACGTTTTATAGTACTTACTTTCATTCTTTTTTAGAACTCATTTTCTTTGTTTACAGGAACTATACACAATTTTACCTAACATAGATCCTTTCCTTTATTAGTTACATAGACAAATACTTCTATAAAAGAAGTTAGTATTTCACGGTCTTCATCATCGTAGGTTAGCTTTCTTTATTGGATCTCAAGCTTTGTGAATTTCCAGTTTTTGTTACTTTAGAAAATCTTTTTGTATTTATTCATGCTTGAATTTTTGGCGTTCTAATCGTGATGTTTATTTTGTAGGTTATGTTCTCTCGGTATATGAAGAATAAGTATTTCAACTATGTTAGTGTAGACAATAAATTTGCGTCAAGAAAATAAAATCAAGACCGAAATATATCGCAATATTCATAGTATTTTATTTCGAATATTTGAGTGTTACAATCTCTATGAATCCTCTGATTCTTCTTTTCAATAGTAAATAAATTCAAGGGCCTTTGAGTTTGATCTTGAATATGTAGTTGTCGCCACGAACGATGATCTTGTTCATGAGCTTTAGCTTGATTGCTTGAACTTGACCTTGATTCGTTCTTCGTTCTTGAGTTTGAACTTGATTTGTTCTTCGTTCTTGAGCTTGAACTTGATTGCTTGAAGATTGAAACTTGATTGCTTGAAGCTTGAAACTTGTGGATGAATTTGCAGTGTTTGATCCACGAGCTCTTTCCCGCTTCTTGTTATAACTTCTGGTATCTTTTTTGAGTTGTGAAGACCCCTATTTATAGTTGTGGGAGGGAAGAGTTATGATAAGAACAAACTCTTTCCGACCAATCAGATTAAAGTGTGACATGGCCGTATTTGATTGGCCAGAACTTGTCACTTGCACACGTGGCATGATTTCATTGGCCTTTTAGTGTGACTTGGCATGCCTTGTCATTTTGACACGTGGCATGATCCTATTGGTTCTTCCGTTTGACTTGGCGCGCCACGTCATTTGACACGTGGCACCAAACTGGGCCTCTAGGAAGATGTTATCTTGGGCTTAATGAAGTGGGCTCATCACCTTAGCCCAATGGATTAAGACTTATTTATTTAATTCATATATATTGGACCTATATAATTAAGGAATTTTTACATTCCTATGCCACATAGGAAACCTTATTACCCTCAATGTTTAAGGTTTGACTTAATTACACTTAGTATACCAAATTACCAATTCTATACCATAGTGTATTTTAAGGGTACAATTAATGCAGCGTATATCCCTCCTTAATTCAAGGTACCGTATATCCCACCCCTCCCACGTTTCTCTCTCCCAAATCCTCCCCCTCACCCAAGTTTATGTATTGTTATTAAACATAAAAACCTATGATTATGAAAACATAGATTTGCAGCATATTGATGTAGAAACACTTAAATCTTACATTGCAATTAGGAGCAGCAATCATTCAAGTTCATGGTTACACTCATTGTTAAATTATAAATGGTCGGTTCTGAAAATATTGAAGAAAAGATTTTTAGTAAAATCATTACATCACGCTAAAGATTTTTAGCAATAGTTTTGTCAAGTTAACAGCTGCAAATAAAAAGAAAAACCAACTTTTAACTCCAGTCTAGGTAACAATGAAGAATAATAATATTACGAAGTACCATTTACCAATTCTTGACGTAATAATTAAGAAAAATAAAAAAAAAGTGATTTTCGACTTATTAATCGAATTCTCTCAACGAAACCAAATTTCAAATGGTAAAAATAGTGAATTAGTTTCATTTCCAACAGGACACGTGCATACACGACATATGCCATCAATTTCATAGTCCCAATTCTCAAACAATATCAAATGCTATAATCTATTGCAATATTTCTTATTTTTATCACAATAATTGCGTTTTTTCAGAAGATTTTGTAGAAGTTTTAGTCGTTTTGGATTTGTGAAAACAGAAAACAATGCATCTACAATCAGAATACAAATAATCTACAACTCATCTACAAAATATCTACAAACTGGGTATATTGAATTTTAATATCCCAATTCCCATTCGATTGTAGTTTAATTGGGATTTTCGACATAATTGCGTTTTTTGCAGAAGATTTGTAGAAGTTTTAGTCGTTTTTGATTTGTGAAAACAGAAAACAAAGCATCTACNATATTCTCGGTGTTACTTGTTGTCCTCTTTTCCTTATTGGGAATTGTAGCATTTTTAGTCATTCATGCAGACTTTACATATTTATATATCGGTTCCATTATTCCTATGATTATACTTTTTATTTGACCGGTAGGTGCCTTGACTATTCCTCGTCACTACTCCACCGAGGTTAGTCTTGATACTTACTGGGCACCGCCGTGGTGTGCTCATGCTACTCTTATGCACATTTTTGTTGTGCAGATACAGGTACTCCCGTTCAGTTCTGTCAGCCTGGGAAGGAGGCGTTTCTATAGAGACTTCGAGGTATATCTGCTACGTCCGCAGACCGAAGAGTCACTTTCTATCTTCTGTAATAAGTATAGTTCTATCAGTATTTTCCTTTTGTATATATATTCTTGAGTCAGAGCCTCTTAGCTTGTGATTTGTGAGTTTCCGGGTTTTGGGAATGTTGTTAGCTTCGAGAATTGTTATGGTATGTGCCGAGCGGCACCTTAAACACCGTTTTATTTTACTAGTTCACTTTTATTTACTTTCTTCTGCAATTATGGTTTATCTTCCGCACTGTTAGGCTTACCTAGTCGTAGGGACTAGGTGCCGTCACGACATGTTCACGGAGGGCGAACTGGGGTCGTGACACATATATATGTTCAATAATTATTCTTTTACGAAGATTATCGGTCCAAGTAATCCAGGCTCGTGATACCACATGTAAAAAAAATTTAATTTATACCAGGATCTTGAACATGATAATCATACATAAAATTGCTACAGAAAACATACCTGAATCGTAAGCCATCATCGTGAAACGGAAGCGTTTATCGAAATTGATTTCTCGCGCCTTGCCCCTAGCTTACGTTAATGCCGCCTTTAGTGATGG